CTTATTTGTGTATTGTCACATGTGCTGCCTGCTATATTCGCTATGTTTGAGCATATAGAAAAGAACAAATGTCTTTGGAAGAGAAGATGATATGAGGTATTTAAATGGGTTATTAGGCATTTTCATATATCCCTCAGCATTGATGATCGACAAGTTAACATAGTCTAACTTTGACTTACCAAAAATCAATTTGAACAAATACTAATCAACTCGATAAAACCAATGGCGACTTTAGTTCATAAATGAGAGCAGCAAAAGCTAGACCGTAATATACAAAGTTAAAATTTGATAGTACCTGATCTTATAAACTTGGTTACTTGAAATTGTGAGGTTAGCTACTCGTCTACAGGAAAGTGGCTACTTGGCTTTAAGTGTGTGGCCGCTTGAACTTGCATACTTGCTCACTCAGGCATGCGTGCTCATCTACTTGTTGATCACAGCAAAATCGAGCAAAACTTATGGCTTACTACTAATTAACAACTTTCTTACTCGACTATTCTGCATGAAGTACTTTGACACTAATCATAATATTTATGGTTTTCTGCAAAGCCTTAAATGTCTCTCACATAAATAACAAATTTAATACTTTACTTTGGTTACTCTGCTACCAAACCAAGGTATTGATTCCAAAATTGTTGCAAAGCAATTTCTCAATCATGCAAGTTTATAGGCTGATCTAGAAATATATGAATAAAGAGTATACGTATCTATCCCACGAGGATAGTTGTCAAAATATTTCTAAAAGAAGAACTTCTAGTGTAGTAAACCACTGGATCAAGTTTGAAGTTATCAAAGTGACGTGAATGAAAATCCAAACATTCCTAAAAGTGCAGTCAGTAGAAATGTCAGTAAATATATGAATAAAGAGTATACGTATCTATGCCACGAGGATAGTTGTCAAAATATTTCTAAGAGAAGAACTTCTAGTGTAGTAAACCACTGGATCTAGTTTGAAGTTATCAAAGTGACGTGAATGAAAATCCAAACATTCCTAAAAGTGCAGTCAGTAGAAATGTCAGTAGTTGAAAAAGGCAGGGAGTAACTTTGAGTCTTTCAGAGTTTTTCAGAGGTGATGAGGCTCATGCTCCTGTGACATCGATATAATGTTTTCTATATTTTTTTCCTATGTGTTCCTTTACTGGGAAGATTGTAATATTCTGTTAAGAAGGATTTAGCAATGTAGCGTTTATCAGGATTCATTTGATCCGCTATCAAGGTTGTAATTCCTAATGTGTGTGTGTACACACACACACACACATATTCTACTAGGTTATTGTGTGTTAACATATTTATTTTTCTAAGCGACTGTTAAAAGTCCTGGATCATAAGAGAGTTTAGCAGTATATTGGGTCAGATTAAAAATAAATTAAGGTCGGAAAGTTAACACAGCAACATGTGAATTTAAAAGGCAAAAAAAATATTTACGGGTAAATAATTACGATAAAAACAATAAAAAAAATCATATAATTACATCACAGAAGCATGGAAGAAGATTAGCTATGAGACTTGACTCAATAAACAAAAGTAAAGGTGGAAGCACTCTATGATCTCCCTTATTTACAACTTGAAGGTTGTGTAACAAATCAACTCGAAGATTGTATAATGATGCATCCCAAAGTCGATATAATAATGCACCTCAAATACTGTGTAACGAGTCACCCCAAAATACGGTATAACGACACACCCAGAAAACTACTTACAACAACAGTACTTAGAATATGGTAACCTTCTCTGAACTTCTGAAGCTCTCTCCTCATATCTCCCCATTACAGCCTACAACCTAAGTGGTTTATTGTAGTTGCGACTCCTTACTACACTCTTCGTGGCCAACTCAAGCTACTACAACTCCCCATTACAACCTATATGACCAACTCCTACTAACATTATTCACAGCTCATCTAGCTTCCAACAACAGTCTTTGCGACCTACGAACATTATTACAGATCACCACTATGACCTATGTGACCAACCACAACTCTAGTAATTCATAGCTCACATAGTTCTTAACTCTAACCTTTGTGACATGCAAACATTATTATAGCTCATCACTACAACCTACATGACCAACTAAGGCCTCTGTGGTCCACAACTCATGTAGTTCCAACTTCGACTTCTATAAACACAGATGTCCACTACGTTCTATGTAAACAACCACAACTTACATGTCTCACAGCTCCTACTGCTTCTTACTACAATCGGTGCAGCCAATTGACAATATTTAAGCAACTATCTATGACCTACATGTCAAATACTACTACGGCTTTCAACTACTACCTCTATGACAAGCTAACATTACAACCACCTTCTACAACATGTATGGAGGAGCACCACCTTCCTAAAAACTGTCTACGACATTTGCGGCCCATCACAACTATTATTGATGAAATACAGTTGTACATCAACTTTGTAATTCCACATTCTCTAATTCAAGAGAGAGCACATCTATGTAGTCACAATTACATAGTGAACTATTTCAATTGGGTTAGCCTGCGAGATTTTTTACATATTAATTAAGATGTCTACTCCTACTACTATATTACCCACGGGAATGTTGGATTTTTATACTATGTTGAGACGATAATTTATAATTCTACCACGTGTATATCCCTGAAAGGATATCGACCCCAATCGTGGGTCATGGTGGATTTTAGCATTATGCTCACGTTGCTGCCGTCCAAGAGAAATGGGAAAGATTTGCAGGAGAGTTCGGCGACTGGAAACTCGAGAATTTTGTGTGCGGATTCTCATTGCCTCCAAAATGCCTTGTGCCGCCCCTCGTTGTTCCTTGTCGCTTTGGCAAGGGCGGAGCTCACGTTCAAAATCCACTTCTTATCCTCTTCGGTTTGAGGACTTCTGAAGGCCGGAGGTCTCTCCGCCGAGGACAGAGGAAGATGATTCCTTTTAATGTGTTTCGTAGTTCTTAGTAGTAGCGTCTTATCCTCTTCGGTTTGAGGACATCTGAAGGCCGGAGGTCTCTCCGCCGAGTACAGAGGAAGATGACTCCTTTTAATGTGTTTCGTAGTTCTTAGTAGTAGCGCCTAAAAATGCAAACTTTACTTATTAGATACCTAAGTTATATATTTACATATTTCACATCTAAATTTCGTATTTACATGCATGACACTAGCTCACGTTCAAAATCCACTCCTTATCCTCTTCGGTTTGAGGACTTCTGAAGGCCGGAGGTCTCTCCGCCGAGGACAGAGGAAGATGATTCCTTTTAATGTGTTTCGTAGTTCTTAGTAGTAGCGCCTAAAAATGCAAACTTTACTTATTAGATACCTAAGTTATAAAAAAGTCTGATATTTTTGTAAATTCAAATTTACTTATGCAGCACATAATTCTTATATATTTACATATTGCACATCTAAATTTCGTATTTACATGCATGACACTAGTTCTTTAAAGTTATTCATGAAAATATGTATTTTGTTCATTAAAAATAATAATAGTGCTATTTTTTTATGTGATATTAAAAATTTGAATATTATGTATGTTAATATAAAAATTTTTGTGTGAGATATGTAAATACGCGAAGGTAGTGCAAACTAGGGCTGTCAAAACGGCTCGTTGTTCGCGAACAGCTCGTGTTCGACTCGTTAAGAAGTTCGTGCTCGGCTCGGCTCGTTAATTTCGTTCGATAAGTTAACTATATATATATATAAATATATATATAATATATATAGTATTTAAAAAAAAAATCTAATTGACTACAAGGCTACAAAAATTTATAACCAATTAAAATATTGATTAAGAAAATAGAATAAAAATTATTAAATTAGATTCAAATGATGTTTTAATATAAATAATAATTTTTAAATTTTGATCAAACTCTTATTATCTTATGACTACATAATTATGATCGTTAAAAGGACTGAACAGCTCGTGTTCGACTCGTTAAGCAAACGAGCCGAACACAAACACATTTTTCGAGCTCGAAATATAAACGAACTGAGCCTGGGCTCGGTCGAACATTAGCTGAGCATGGCTCGCTCGTGTTCGGCTCGTTTCACCCCTAGTGCAAACGAGTCGAACACGAGCGACACTCGTTTATATTTCGAACACAAAAAGTGTGTTCGTGTTCAACGAATCGTCGTTTACTCTGCAAACCGAACACGAGCTATTCACGAACAAAGAATCGATTTGTCAACCTTAATCATGTAGACATAAGATGTTGAGGGTCGGGGCAAGATTTAAAAATTATTGTTCATGTTAAAACATCATTGAACTCTAATTTAATATTTTTAATTATATTTTTTTAAGGAATACTTTTAATTAATTATAAATCTTTATCGCCTCAATTAAATTTTTTAAAAATACTACTCATCAATATATACATATATAAATAAATAAATAAATAAATAAATAAATATA